TGACAATAAATGATGAAGTGAAGAAAGACCAAGTTCACCATTTTGAAGTCAAATGAAGATTGCATCAACATTCATGCATTCATAAGAATATCATTTACACAATAGACAATACATTACATTGATACATCTGAGTGCATTTAAACATGAAGTTTTATAGATCTTCGGAAGAACAAGAAGATTCTTGGTAAAAAATACCTTACACGAAGAAGGTATTCAAAACCATAAATACAGGAATCATGCAAACATCTGAAGAAGAGATGGATGCAATCCACAAAAATGAGCATTATCTTGAGATTGGGGCATTTTACCCAATCAAAATGTTATTTTGAAAAATAATGAGAAAACGATTTCCCTAGTTTCTCATTCAATCTTTTCTAAAAATGAAATTGTTGAAAAGTAAGAAAACGATTTTCTTAGTTTTTTTACTTGGTAAACTATTTCCCACATCTGTAAGTCCTACAGTGCATGATGTTTCCAAAAAGTCTTCGGGAACTTTTTGATGTTGTTATTTTGAAAAATAATGAGAAAACGATTTCTATAGTTTCTCATTTTATCTTTTCTAAAATGAAATTATTGAAAAGTAAGAAAACGATTTCCTTAGTTTTTACTTATTAAACTATTTCCTACATCTGTAAGTCCTACAGTGCATGATGTTTCCAAAAAGCCTTCGGGAGCTTTTTGATGTTTTCAAAGCCTTAGGGTCATCTGTAAGTCCTATAGTGCATGATGTTTCCAAAAAGCCTTCGGGAGCTTTTTGATGTTTTCAAACCTTCGGGTCATCTGTAAGTCCTACAGTGCATGATGTTTCCAAAAAGCCTTCGGGAGCTTTTTGATGTTTTCAAAGCCTTAGGGTCATCTATAAGTCCTGCAGTGCATGATGTTTCCAAAAAGCCTTCGGGAGCTTTTTGATGTTTTCAAACCTTCGGGTCATTTGTAAGTCCTACAGTGCATGATGTTTCCAAAAAAGCCTTCGGGAGCTTTTTGATGTTTTCAAAAACCTTCGGGTCATCTGTAAGCCCTTCAGTGCATGATGTTTTCAAATATTTTCATCCTACTCAATAGAGGCCAAATGAAAAAATTATTGTCTTTTTTCGTCTTTACTATATTCTTGTTAACACAAGAATGAGCAAAGAGGGGCAGCTGTAGACATTAATTTTTTCATAATAATAATAATTATTATAATTATTATTAATATAATATATTATTATTATTATTTATTATTAAATATATATATATATATATATATTACAAATTACATCAGAGGCCCAATCTATTACAGGCCCGATCAACCGGCCCAGTAAAACCCAAACCCTTTAGGGTTTGTAACATTTCAGCTAGGGTTTTCTAAACCCTAGCTTCCAGACGCCAACAACAGCCGCCCCAGCTAACGGTTCAGCTTCCAGCCGCCTCTGATAATTCCAATAGTCTCCAGCAGCAGCCGACGCCTCTACCAGGTGTTCCATCCCGCTGTAGCCACGACACCACTACTTCAACCAACTGCTACCAGATGCCTCAACCATCTTCCACGACACCCACACAAGTCTCCAGAATGCCAGCTGCCCCTCCACGCGTCGATGTTCAAGGGTGACTCACTAAACTTCCCCCTCTGGACCGGTCTGAGCATGGCTCCGTGGTGGCTATAAAAGCCACCGGATCCTGCAAAACGAAAGACACAGCCACAGCAAGCAAACACAGAGCAAGAACAACAGAAAAGAACAGAAAAAAAAAACAGAGAACCACGAGAGCAACTAAGAGAACAGAAGCTAAACGACACACAACAAATAAACCCACAACAGCAAAGAAGAAGAGAAGGGAACTTACCACCGAGGAGCCTCTACGAGCCACCAGAAACCGAAACGTTTAAGAAAAAGATCCTAGATCTACAACGATTGGTAAGAGTTTAGGTTAAAAAAACTTTAGATTCGGGTATAGAAAAATAGAGACTTCAATTTAAGGGGGGTTTTGTAATTTCCGGCCACCGGATATGGTGGCCGGCGGTGGTGCTGGTGCCGGAGCAAGGCGGCCGGCCGATTGCCTTCATCGGAGAAGGCATAGAGAATTTTTATCTCTCTTTTTAGAGAGAAAAATGAAAGAAGAAAATGAAAGGCGTAAAGCCATTCTCAGCCGATGAATGGGTATTTAAACCCCTCCCCGAACGACGTCATTTTGGGGAGGGAGTATCTCTGTAATTACCATCAAGGGTAAAACCCTTTCCGTGACCTTTCTATGTTTATATCTTTACACTTTGGTCACTAAAATCAATTATTGAGCCTTTCAATTTGGTATTTAAATTTTATTTTCTTTACATTTTAGTCTTACCCGTAATTATACATATTTACGGTAAATACCTAATTAGTCCCTGGTAATTTTAATAAATTTTATTTTAATCCCGTATATATTATTAAGGCTAAATTACACTGTAGGCCTCTGGATTTTATGATATTTTGAAGTAGAGTACTAAGTTTAAATATTCTACATTTTAACACTATATTTTTAATTTATTTTATTTTAATAATTATTTATTTACAATATTATTGCTTTTATTTTTCAATTATTGCTTTAATTATTATTTTATTATTATCTTAGTCATATAAATATATATAATAAATAATATTTATTTATTTTATTTGTTTTCTATGAAATAAAAATCCTATTTATGAACTAGATATGTTTAATTTTATTTTATTATTATGTTTTAGTTATTTATTTATTTTTAAATATTGAAGGAAAGAGTTGTTTTAAAACAACTAGAAGCCCTTTTCTAATATTTTTAAATAAATAAATATATTACTATATTAAAACAATTTATTATTATTATTTTTTTAATATCAAAAGAAAGAGCTGTCTTAAAGTACCTAGAAGCCATTTTCTGATATTTCTAAATAAATAAATATGTTATTTAAATATATATATATATATATATATATATATATATATATTCTTTAAATTATAAATAACAGGATTATAAATTAAATATATCTTTGAATTTTAATAATAGAGACAATTTATAATTAAAAAGTACCAATTTTGGGGTTGTAGGAGTGCTAATCCTTCCTTAAACGTAACCGACCACGAATCCCTTTTTATTATTAAAAAGAACGAATTTTTGGTTAAAACGCAGATCAGTTTATCTTTTAATCGATGTTTTCTTTAAAACTCTTTTAAAGGATGGTTTTTAGGTATTCGACCTACCTGACCCAAAAGGCCGATGGCGACTCCCAAATTATTTTAAAAAACCATTTACTCACATCACTTTTCCCGCCTAGTACAAAATTCGTGCCCGGACGAAAACCGGTTACGACAGGATTCAATTTCAAGTCCTGATTTTTATGCTATGGAACTTAAGAACATATCTCTGGGATGAAGCTAAACTTTATATTCTTTCACAAGTCAGAAATGGTTGATGATTGTTTGAAATACATAGAAATTGGTCCAGTATTTTGTCTATTGGTTTCACTTTGATTCTTAGTTTAAGTTATACAAAATGGAAAGAAGATAGCTGGCTTTTCCTAATCATTCCAATTTCTGAAATTAGCATTTCCCATTTTCAAACATCATCAGCACCATTGCCATAGACATTGACTATCGGGTATCTTCAAGAAAACCCTAAAAACTCAACTTTGCAAAAGTGGTTGTTACTGGGTTTCTGTTTCTTTAGTAAGTCACTTGACACTCGATTATTTATCGACTACGAGTTTGTGACTGGTTAAAGTTTTAGGATTTAGAGAAAAACTTTGAGAAGCCAATTGCAATGTGAATAGTAGTATGGAAATCTCGGTGATGATCATTCTGTTTTTTCATGGCTGCACTGCACCCACTGATTTGTAAGTGGAGCACTAGGTCATTGTTGACTTAAAGATATGTAAGCTTAACCATTATAGACATTTCTGTGTGAAGTTACTTGAGGAATAATGAATTCAAAGCATTAGTTGTTAGTCTTTTCGTTTCGATCTATTCCGATTTACCGAACCATGCTCTGTAAATACCTTTGAATGCAAAGAAGGGTATCCCTTGAAACAGAGAGACGTTTGTGTTGATAACATGTTTTTCTTACAAAAAACGGTTTAGAAGTTTAGTTTTCTTTACTTAACAGAATCTGCAACACCAGCAAAGTTATGAAAAGGAAGTTGCCCTTGCTGAGATCGATTATAGCCGGAGAGTTGTCTTGGAGAAGCTCGAAGAATATCAAGGGAAGGACATCAAAGTGATTCTCGAGGCCTCTGCTTTCTTTATGAAACGGTGGTGAATAACCGTGACCTCCTCCTTCCCCCATATCCGAGTCGCCCCCATGATACTTGGTTCTGCATAACAGCTTGTTGTCACACTTACAGTTAACATACAAGTCTTTGCCAAATGGGATTTCCACCGGCGACCCTACGAATGAAGCAAAGAACCCTAAGCAACACGGCAAGCAAGACGAGTCCAAAAGCTCGAGGAAAGGATTCGGCCACTTCATAAGTTCAGCATTGAAGACCGTGCTTCCCCTTATTGGTGTAATGTACATATTAAGCTTGTCCAATTTCGTGCCGAACATCAGGAAACGTAATCATGTCAAGATTTATGTCATGAATCATCGACGTGCAACTGAAGAGAGGAATTCAAATGGTCTCTGTCCACCTGGGAAAGTCCTGGTAATGGACGGAGATCTCGATGCTTGGTGAAAGAGAGGATTGAAGTACCATCTGAGTCAGATTGTTGCCAAACCAGATGTAAATTATGGTTGTGGCTAATTTGATATTATTTCCAAATGTTGTGTATAAAACTACTTTTATTGTTAATTAGTTGCAATGAAGTTTTACTAATGGTTTTTCATTTCTAGAGATTTAAATTATAGTTGTGATTATTGTGATTACGAACCTAACGAATGTTATTATAGTCATTATAAATATTATAATCATATAATAATAATTTCGGATAACACATTATTGCGTTGTCGATAGTAGACTATTATTTAAATCCATGACAATTTCAGCTCTACAAATGCAACAGAAGAAGATTGCCCTGCTTTGCCAAAAGAACTTTCCTCTCTGCTCAATGGCTAACCAAATTCTTAAACCCCATGTCCTTTCCACAACTCCAAAACCCCTCCTTCCTCTCTCTTCCTTCTCCTCCTCCGCCTTCTCCACCACCTCTTCTCCGCCGTCCGATCAATCCGACCCAGTCTCCGCCGTCACTTCCATTCTCATCCATCATCGCTCCAAGTCCCGCTGGTCCACCGTCCTCACTCTCTTCCCCTCCGGTTTCACCCCTTCTCAGTTCTCCCAAATCACCCTCCAACTCAAAAATAATCCCCACCTTGCCCTCCGCTTCTTTCTCTTCACCAAACAAAATTCCCTCTGTCACCACAACCTCTCCTCCTATTCCACCATAATTCACATCCTCTCTCGTGCTCGACTCAAAACCCGTGCCCGGGAACTCATCCGACTCGCGATTCGGACCCCAGGTATTGAAAAGGAACCCACTCATTTTATACTATTTGAATCGTTAGTTAAAACTTATAATGAGTGCGGTTCTGCCCCGTTTGTTTTCGATTTGTTGGTAAAATCTTGTTTGCAAATGAAAAGGCTTGACGGGTCTATTGAGATTGTTAGAATGTTAATGTCTAGAGGTATTAGCCCCCAGGTTAGTACCTGTAATGCTTTGATTTCAGAGTTTTCGAAATTTCATGGAGCAAATAAGGGTTATGAGGTTTATAAAGAGGTTTTTGGAGTAGGTAATGCTGAGAGTGACTGTAATAAGAAAAGGGTTTTTAAGGTCCGGCCAAATGTGCATACTTTTAATGCTTTGATGCTCTGTTTTTATCACGAAGGGTTGTTGGACAAAGCGAGAGAGGTTTGGTGTGAAATGGAAAGCTTAGGATGTGCCCCAAATAGTTATAGTTATAGCGTTTTAGTGGCAGCTTTTGTGATGAAGGGAAGGTGAGAGAAGCAGAGGACTTATGGGCGGAAATTAAAGTTCAGGGATTAGAGCCTGATGTTGTGGCATACAATACGATGATCGGTGGATTATGTAAAAGTGGAGAGATTACGAGAGCTGAAGAGTTGTTCACAGAAATGGGATTGAATGGAATAAAGGCAACTTGTGTTACTTACGAAATCTTATTAATGGATATTGTAAAATTGCAGATATTGATTCGGCTATGTTGATATACAGGGATATGTGTAGGAAAGACTTTAGGCCACAGAGGTTAACTGTCGAACTGTTGATTAGAGGGATTTGTGATAAAGGTATGGTACTCAAAGCTTTTGAGATAATGAAAGCGGTAAGAGAATTTGGTGTTTGTCCGACAGGGACAAGTTACGAGCTTTTAGTAAAAGGTTTGTGTGCGGAGGGAAAGATAGAGGAAGCGCTAAAGCTTCAAGCAGAGATGGTGGGGAAAGGGTTCAAGCCGAATCTGGAGATATATAATTCTTTTATAGATGGTTATTTGAGACAGGGAAATGAGGAAATGGTAGCAATGTTGAGAAAGGAGGTTTTAGAGACTCAAAAAGGGGAGAATTAGAAGTCTACCATCTTACAAGTGGAAGCAGACCTGTTTGAATACTGATGGTAAGTTGTTCTTGAGATATGCGCTTCCTTTGTTAGATAGTGATTTTCTTAGCTTTAGTGAGATTCATTTTGGATAATGCAGGTCATTTGTTGAGAGAAATTTTGGTTTCATGTAAAAACGGATATCTTCCTACTTTGATGGAACTTGTATGTTAAATTCTTAGCAATGTGGCGATGAAGATGGAAGCAGGTCTGTGCTGCTATCGCGATTGAAGTAATAAAGCAGTTGATGGAGGTATTCGCAGCTTTATGATAGATACATGGTGTTGAGAGTGTGAGGCATCGGTTTGCGTCTCTTGTAGTTCTCTGAAATGTATCATTGATGCTGAGCTTTGTTTTATTTTTACAACAAGAACATAGAGATTTAAGCTCTTGTTTTGTTTCTGAAATTTGAAAAGATTAACTTGGAAGGGTAGACAGTCCTATTCTGCCAGAGTTCCAAAGAACCAAGTATATGTTCAATGGTTCATTTCCCGACATGGATCCGTTAAGTGGCTTGAAAATTGGTTAAATATACCATCTTTTACCTGATGTACCGGCTTTTGTAATCCACAGGGTATCTAAGCTCTAAATGCAGGCAAATCGGAGAATCCCTTCCCTGCTCGTGATGGAAAAGACCAAGCCGTTAAGCACTTCATTTTACGGTCCTAATCTGGCTCGAGTTTTTTTTTTGGTTTTTCCATCTCAGATCCATTTTCAACCCCATCAAAGGATCAGCATGGTAATCTGCTCTCAAAGCATAGGATACATGATTTAGTTAATTATAATCTTCACCATGGTACCAGACAGAGAATTCTAGATTTCAATATCTCCAATGTCCAAATTGTTCACTTTAGTTTGTGATTGTGTGATTCAATGTACAGTAGTGGCTCCAAAAAGCCTCTTAGTAATCTATATTTACCTTGAGATGCTACAATTATAGTGGAAAACCAACAAATTCCCAGACCTAGAGAATTACAAGGAGGGTAGTAACCAAAGATTGAGAAGAGCTGAAGCCAAAGACAGAAACCAAGTGAGAAATGCCATGGCAGCCGAGAGTTGATATCTACTGCAACATTTGGGAGCGCAAAAGGACCTGCCGGAGTTGAAAAGGAGATCCACGACGCTAGCCGTGGAACATGCCGCGGCTAGAGTCAGAACCGACAAAACCTGTCATCAAAACGTATTATCAGCTTTCACTCAGTCTAATAGCTTCCAGCAAACATAAGCTTACCCAATCTCCTGCAGCTATCATGACCAATACTCCAGGCTGACGAACAGGACATTTAACCAGAACAGAGAACCCATCCACCAATGCCAATGTAAAACTCCAGGGAATAACCAGCCCCATGATTGTTACCAAATAGCTGAAAATGTTAACAGCAACATCCACCGGAACGAAAAGTCCGATCATTGCTCGATCTGAAGCAACAACTACAGCAGAACAGATCGAAATAAAACAGCAGAGACATACCAGAAAGCAGTGTAGCTATAGAACTCGACTCCCAAAGACATGAAGAGAAGAGAAGCACAAGCAAAAAGGGTCTGTCCTAATCTCAAAGAACAGCCAACACTAGTGCCCAAAGATCCAGGTACCCCATCCATCGCCATTTTGCATTCTTCCCTTTTCTTAGTTTAAATCGACGAAACCACGAATGTTCCTTCCCTTATAAAGAGAGAACAAAGATTTTTTTTTTCTTTTGGGAAAAATAAGTAACCGCCTTGAAGTTTGGATTTACCATACCGTGAGAGTGGTACATTATTTTAGACAAGCATGTATTGTTTGTTTCCACCACCATTCTTATTCTATAGTCGGCAGGAAAATGGAAGCATCATGAGATGGGGCCTAAAAGCAACCACTTTACCAACTCCAATAATATTAGGATATCACAAAGATGTGGAAATTTCCTCATGAAAATAGCGTGCATAGGACTGAAGGAACAAGGATAAGCCTGTTCTTTTAAAGGGTAGAACTGTGGACTTTCCACGTGTAATAGCCTTATTTATTAGTGGGAAATATGATACCCATCTGTAAACAATCAGTGGTAAAAGTATTCTGGTTATTCTTTAAAGATTCAGGTTAAATATGATACCCATATGTAATGTAAACGTTTAATATTAAAATGTTGAGAGTTATCTTTGAATAAATATTGTCTTATATTTATTTTAGATTAATTAAAAAAAAACAAGTGTTAAGGTTAACATTTAACATCCCATTCTTTTATCATCCGATCTAGTTATGTCGTGAGAACTGTTGATGAGAATAAATGAATCGTTATAGTTATAGATGGTTCACTTCTCTTGTTTTGAATAAAAATTATAACCAATGATAAAAATATTAATATTAGTGTTAGACATAAAGTTATAATTATCTGTAAGTTAATAGGTTAAGTCGATATGACCAACCAAAAGTAATTTTAACTCTGGTAGATCATATAATTGATCAAAGATATGTCGAAAAAAACACATCTTCCCAAAAGATATAAGGTGTTAAAATTCTCTCTCCAGAGATAAAAAAATTGTTCCTCAAGTTTTTCAAAAATCCTAAATTGCAGAGGATGCATACCAAAATATAGATTGAAATTATATGACATACCATTAAACTCAAGTTTTATTTTTCTGAGATTCTCAATCCATCTTCAAGTCCCCAATAAAAGAGAAAACTCATTAAAATTTTCTGAACGAGTAAATGCAGGGACTGGAAAGGTGAAATGGAAAAGCAGGAAAGCATCCAATTTTCATTTATTAGCACTAAAATTGTCTGATCAAGGTGCTATCACTTTCAATTATAAAACACTAATGAGTAAATTCCACCAAACCCCTTCATTACTCCCTCTGATTACACTCGAAGCTCAGTCATTTTGGATTCCTCATACACATTCCTTCCATACTGGATTTCCCCCCTCCAGTTTCAAGATGAATGGAACACAAGATGGTGGCACTTATAATTTATAAATGTGTTTAAATCATTGAGTAGTAGTTTGTAGGAATCAGTAAATTGTTGGAGTGGGATGTAATTAAGAATAAAAGAAAGGAGGTGCACGTAATTGACCCACAGAATAGTAACAGATAAACGAGGGATGAGGTCGTAATAGATGGGAGTTGGAGCAGATGAGATGGAGCATGTGCATATGATGTGTTTCTAGTAGCTCACCTGTCATTGTATCTTCTTATGTCCCTTTAATGACGTTATTTACCACTTTTACACTACTCATTTAAAAAAGGGTAACATTCTCTTTTTTCTTCCCTTTTACACATAATAGTAACGTCGCCGCCGCCGACGGCGGAAGGAGTAGAGTAGACGGAGAACTAGAGGAACGATCCGTTTCGAGATCAGACGCGAATACGTAACGATCAGAAATGCTGCGGCGACCACCACCACCACCATGGCGATCAACTGTGGACTGAAGTCAATCTGAAGCTTTGAAGGAGACGACGGAGAAGGAGATGGGGCCCAGGCGGTGAACCACATAATCGCCGACGGCGGTGGGTGGATTGTTTTTTACTCCCAGAGCAGGCGTTTAAGCTGACGGGGAAAGTGTTTAAAAAAAGTTGAATCTTGAGGGTTGACTATTTTATCTGGTCAGGAGGTGGCGGGTAGACGAAAACAAAATTGATGAATTTAAGGCTATCAGAGAAATTCTTATTCTCCGCATACGGACTCATCTTGCAACCGGAAAACCCATGTGTTATCTAGTCGACACGTAATGATATCTTCGAAATTTTAGTACTGCTGCTTTGTTCTACTACCTTGGTCTCTCTCAGAGTTGAGCAAACTTGATTTGCAAGCTAACGAAACTCATCAAACTTCCATGTATCGGATAAGAAGAACATGTTAACCGAACTGAAAATCGAGATTTACTCGTCAGCTTTAAATGGCTATATCCGCAGGTTTGAAGTGTTTCAAGTTAGTCATGGCCATTATGTCTGTAATTTTCCACTTTGATGACATAAATTGCATTACAGTGTTCAGAAGAGAGACATATTTCTCCGTCCTCCCTCTGGCTCAATCTTGGCAAGGGGTAAGACTTTTAACATGTCCATAATCTATACAATTTTCCACTCTCTCTCTTTTAGTTTTAAAGATTGTACTCAAATTCACATGCTTTACTTGCAGGATGTTCGTTATTTAATGGACGATGTCCAGGAACTAAAACCGACCACATTTTGCACGGTTCCAAGAGTTTATGACCGCATATACACTGGTACGTATCGACAAATTCTCTTTAAGAATGTAACCTTGTGAGAAAGGTGCCATTATATCAAAACAATTATTGCATTTTCATTGACAAACCAGTGAAGAATTACATGGTTTATATAGCACTTGGTTGCTGAACCAAGAAGCAAACTTCCTAACAGACTTTGAAAAATATAACCGTGTAACAGCAGCCTAACAACCTATGGTTCTGATTGTCTGCAACCCAGCATACACCATCAACTATGAACTTAACTACAAGCTTCTTGAATCTTCTCCATGCACACCATGCAGCATACCCTAGAGCTCGAGCAATGTTAGAGCATGATCATTGATGCTCACTAACTCATTATGCTAACATTCCCTCTACTTCTTCTTCTTTTGTTCTTCTGACCTTGAACACACTATTACAACAAGCTCTAAAAACTAATTACAACTAATTTTTAACATTCAACCTTCTTGATGAAAAGATGAACACCCGAAACGAAAGTGCGATACATCTTTCCGTTCGATTAGAATCGGAAGTGCCGATGCTTCCCTTCCGTTCGATTTGAATCGGAAGTGCCGATGCCTACTTCCATTCAATTTGAATCGGAAGTGCCGATGCCTCCTTCCGTTCTATTTGAATCGGAAGTGCGATGCTTTCTTTCGTTCTTCTTATTCACCTTCATTTCTTTCTTTTTCCGAGCCCGCTGTCTTAGCTCTTGTGCTTTGACCTTCAACTCTTTCGATGTAAGAGAAAGTTTAGGTGCCTCAACATTTTATTGGCAGATACCTTGGGTATCTCATCTATGTTTGGATCAGCTTCATGCTTAACTACCCAGTTCATGGCAGCCTTAAGACTTGTGTTACCAGAAAAGTGGAGAGTACGTATTGCTTGTGCGGTAGGGAAACTCATCGCTTCCAGTTCTTCAAGCAGTTTTTTTTTCAGCCTCTGGCACAACCATCTCTTCAGACTGGCTGGTGCTACCTACATCAACAGCCTCTTCTGAGTCCATTGCTACCTTTGGGACCTCTAAACTGATTGGTTTTGCTACCTCCAAAATCTTATCTACAAACTCGGTATGCCCTGTTCGTTTTGTATACAAATCGCTTTCTGTTTTGGATCGGCATGGTTTGCCACAAGCGGAGCAAACAAGATTGAGAACCTTCAGTAAATTGAAAACAGTATACCAAACCTCATTAGTAAACTCAGGTCCATACACAGTAGATGATGAGGAACAGTGTAAACTTAGACTCATTTGGTGTAAACCGAGACCAGTGAACATCAGTTGAAGAAATATGACAGCCCAATGAAGTTTGCATGCATCCATTAAGAAGGGAATGAGTTCAAGATAGCATACAACATATGAATTGACCATTGTTGAATTGAAATGGAAGAAACAGTGGCGTTGAGGCATCAGATTAATCAATCAAGCCCAGTGATTTTCTCGTAACAAAATCAACTCTGAGATCGGGTACGGTGGATAGCGACGGACAGTGGTTGAGAATTCAGTGACTGATTGGTGTTTAGAAAGAAAATAACAACAAATGCAAGCGGAATAAAGATGGCCACAGGATCATCGGCGAATGATACCATGTGAGAAAGGTGCCATTATATCAAAACAATTACTGCATTTTCATTGACAAACCAGTGAAGAATTACATGGTTTATATAGCACTTGGTTGCTGAACCAAGAAGCAAACTTCCTAACAGACTTTGAAAAATATAACCGTGTAACAGCAGCCTAACAACCTATGGTTCTGATTGTCTGCAACCCAGCATACACCATCAACTATGAACTTAACTACAAGCTTCTTGAATCTTCTCCATGCACACCATGCAGCATACCCTAGAGCTCAAGCAATGGTAGAGCATGATCATTGATGCTCACTAACTCATTATGCTAACAAACCTCATGTTGCTGATACCAGTCACCGTAAGTTCGTTATTTGCCATCGGTATGTCATTCGTTCTACATATAACTATATAACCAGTCACACATAACTCCCTACACGGCCCTAACTATGAGTTTCCTGAAAACTTTCCCAATGGTCAGATTTGGGTTTATGGGAACAGTTTTTGAGTCATTTCTGGTGGCTGTGGTAGTCCCTGAAAGGAAGGCACTAGAAGATTGGGCAATGGATCATAATGAACCTATTGATTTCAAGTCATTGTGGTCAAACCCCAAGGCAAGGAAGTACATATTGAACGAGCTAACTAGCACTGGCCATAAACACATCATGCAGATAAATACACCACATCTTCTTCTTCCTAGCTCTGCAATTCATAAAAATCATTAATGGTTTTTCATCAACTGATGCAAAATCCATACTTCCATACAGCTGAGAGGATTTGAAATGCTAAAAGCAATGCTTTTGGAACCAAATCCCTTTAACATTGAGAGGGATATGGAAAACCCCAACTTTCAAGCTTAAGAGGCCCCGACTGCTCAACTACTACAAGCTATGCTTTCCCAGCAAATATGAATTCTAATGTCACAAGTCATTGCTTGGGACATGGAAACAAAGTTAATCTTGATGATTATTAGTGAAAGTTAATGCAAATCGCATGTAATTGATTTATAAATCATATGTCAAACAATATGTGCAGGGTAAAATTAATCAACTGGACAAAGAAGCAAAGGGACTAAGGTTGGATATTTATAAGACCAGTTCAGTTCAGAGAGCAAGAGCTAGGAATTCAGCAGTGCTGATATGATTACAAGTAGTTGCAGAAACTTGTTTCTGTTTTGTTTGAAGATCTTAATGAAGAGTGTGTAGTATTTACTAGATTCCCAAGAAAAGATTCTAACTTTTCTGGGAAACAAGATACAAAGGAACAATCAAAGCAAAGCTTCCATGAACTTGACAATGAACAATATCTACAATAAAACAACTCTAATATTTCCATTCAATCACCAAGGAACAAACCGGTCCATAAGCAAACAGACAGTAGCTTCTGACATTGTGGATTCGTTAGCATCACCTTTTGAAGCTTCCTTCTCTTCAACACCACTCTCCTTGGCAAATTGCTGCTCTTTTTTAGCCCTTATCGACATGAAAGGCTTTCTTGCTTGAACCTTCTCTTTAAGCTTTGCTGCTACCTCATCTATCCACTCACCAACTACTGCAGACATTTTTTACTCTCCCTGGAATCTGTTTAAAAGCTTTTGCTTTTTCTCTGGTTCTTTAATGGAGAAAGAGGGGGGAAGCAAAAAGGGTTAATATAGAAGAAAATAGAGAAAACCGGAACTCACCCGTAGTTTTCAATGGCGGTGCCACGTCTGTTGGTTTTTGGCTCATTGGAAGAGAAAAACCCACGGGGAAATGATGCAAAACCCATGTGTGGTCCGCCCCTAGAAACAGTTAAATGGAAGAAAATGGCATTCATCAATCCTGTGTATGAATATCTCATTTAGACCCTGGAAAGAAGGGCAGCCCTTTGTTTTGTCTAGAAAAGTTGGCAACTTTCAATTCGTTCACGTGGCAACGGAGCTAAGCGACAAAAGGGTTTACTGAGCCTTTACGTTTACAGATCTGTTGGCTACAAATCTACATATCCGAATACCAAAATGGTAAAGCAATCGAAGATAAAGAGAGGGTCTCTTTGAGATATTTATAAAAAAAATCGAGATTATCGAAATTCGGTTGATGTTAGGGATGTAGTCTGACTTAAAAATTGACAGAGATTAAAATATTAGATTATTTAAAAAAATATATAATTATTTATTAGCTATTTAAATTTAAAATTTAACATGAACCGAGCGATCTTAATGATTAAAGGATTGTTATTATCATTGAGATCTCGGATTCAAACACTGGGTATGTAGGAGTACGAGTGTTCATTGCCAAATAGTTAAAAGTCTTAATACAGATACTACCTTATATTCACCTTAAATTTATAAAAAAAAAACTCAAAATTCACCAGATAACTTTTAATTTGTCTAATATTTAAACTTACAATGACCCAAATTATAATTAGACCAAAAATTTGAGAACACAAACTTATCATTCTTTGTTCAACCCCTACTTGATTAAATATTTAATAATTTTTATATTTTTAAATTTAAATATTTATTTTTACGTAAACAAAAATACTATTAAACGAAAATTATATCTAATATATAAATTTTAACAGGAGTTGAGCCCCTTGGTCCCTAAGGGAGCTCCTCTTTGGTTAATATAGTAGAATGCAATATTATTTTTTATTAAATAATATCAAGAATTTAAATTTTAATGTTGTAGATTAAAGAATTAGATTGAGAGAATCATCTTTATAATAAATTTTTATAATATCTTATCCGAATTAATTGATTAATATATTAGATGGGCGGAGAAACACTTGAATTTTAGTACTTTTTCGATTACTGATAAGTTTGGTTATTGATTAGATCGAAATCATAATATAATGTGGTGTGATATAATAATAATTTTAGTCTTTAAAATTTACGTACTCTTACTATTATGAAATTGAATTTAAAGATAGTAATTGGGTTATTGGGTACAAATAAAGTATAAGATAATACTCAAAAATCTAAACATTAGGTAGGGTTTAAAAAAAATTTAGGTGTTAAAACGGATTAAAACTTATAATTTAGGTATTAAATGCATAATTTACCCAAACATACAAAAAAATAGTACCAAATAGGTAATTTACCCTTTAAAAGCCCGCACATAGCTAAACCCTAAAACCCTAACGACAAAAAATCGTAGTAGTCTTCGTCTACCCGAACAAAAGGCAACTTCGCCCACAAAAAAAAAGAAAAGGCCTGCAACTTTTATAAGCCGAAGACGACGTGGAAATAGAGGACATGCAGTGGAACGATGAGTTGCAGGCGTACACTTATCCATGCCCCTGCGGAGATCTATTCCAGATCACGAAGGAAGATCTAAAACTCGGCGAGGAAATCGCTCGTTGCCCTAGCTGTTCTCTCTACATCACGGTCATATACAACGCTGAAGACTTCGCCGACAAAAAATCTAAGAACAACCTCGATCCTCAGAAACGGCAGCCAGTCTCCGTTGCTTGAGGCTTTAAAGGTCATTATTGTTTCTTCGTTTTTCTTTTATTATGAATTAGTTCCTTTACGTGATTTGAATTAGCGCTGACGACAAAAAATGTTTATCTAAGTCGTTGCTGTGAGGTTTCTCTGTATCACTGGTTATTCTTGATTGAACATAGTAAACCAATTTGATATCTTAAATACAATATGAGATGGGTGTATGTTTTTTCAAAAAAGAAAAAAATTGAAATTTTATGTTAGAAAGCTTTATTTTCTCGTAGTATTAATGAATAATACAATTTTGCATCTTCCAAACTACTTGGCTCTGGTGCTCTTGTGATTGACTGCAGTTGCAGGGTATGGGTGGATGGTTTTGGGATTTAAATGTAATTCACGTTAGCTATGCTAAATCATTGGGAATTCATAATTGGACTCTCATTATCTAAATTTTTATCTTAAATTTTACCCCAAAAATCCATTTGCGGGTTTCAATCAGATCTATAACAGCTGTACATTTATTGAAACTAAAACTTAGCCAAGAAAACCCTTTGTACCTAATGTTTCTAAAGCTTTTTGGCAGCTTAAAAGATTGATTACAATCACGATACCAAAAGAATGCTTGATGTCAACATTTGTGTATGATTTAAGGGATTGGGAAAACTGATTCCCGTAGAAAGTTGTAATTGCTGATGACTAGGAGGTGAAGGGAAGGTTTATTGGCATGTTTGTACGTTTGTTTGTCCTAAAGCATGCAATTGTATGATGTTTTCTGCTAAAATACTGGGGCAACCTCTACAGTTGGGATGAATGAAGATGAAGAGATAGGTCAGTTCTTAAATTTGATATTCCTTTAGATGCCTAAGTTCATGGCCTTTCAGCTTTCTTTGCGATGTAATTGGTTTTAGCCATAGAACTAGTGGCCTTTTAAATGCTGAGAATGATGGTAGCTGGGATGTTCGGAGATGTGAAGTATTCAAATCAATACATGTTCAAATCCGAGCACCTATTACAAAGATTTCAATACTCTCTCCCTCCTGAACCTTCCATGTGTATGGAAATAAGTCTAAACATCTCTTATTCTAGACAATGTATTTATTTATAAGTTCTATTAGGTATATAGCTTCTTATGTAATTTGACTGGCTGCCACTCTTTCCATTCCCTTAATACATCCTAGATTGAACACTCGGTATACAATGGATAGATGAATCTTTTGACTGTTTTTGTATTTGATTCTGCTACTGAGGCTAAAATTCAGATAGCTGCAAATCTTATTAAGAATGAATTTTCTATTCACCTTTGAACAGCTTGATTTTGGAAAACTTTATTGGTAATTCTACTCCCAGCAAGGTTGTTTCTCATATGCTAACAATCTGACATTGCTATAATTATCTGCTTAAGTTTCACTTTTGGCTTACTAACTATTTTGTATTTTGTTGAACATAAATAACCAATGTAGATCTCTATGCTATACGGACCCTAATGCTTACATGGAAAATAAGATGGTCTTTGTTCATCACAAAACTTTCATAGCTAGGAAAATTTCTGCTTAGGTAGTTTGCCGAGTCATTCAAAATCTGGAAATTTTGAGTAAATGTTTCAAATTTTGGGATTGTAATTGCTATTTGAAGTGATAGTAGTTTACATTGTTATGCCAATTGCGACCTTGAAGGATTACGTTAGTTGTTACATGATACATCTTATAGGCCATTTTATAGATGGATTTTCAGGGCCTTCCATGTTGCATGCATGCTTTAATGCTAGTTACCGATTTGCCAAGTAATTCTCAACCATTAGATCCTGTGGAGTCGAGGACAATTGGGATACAGAACTAGTCTGCAACTCCTCTCCGCATGTTGGGTACCGAAGCAAGTAAGCGTCGAAGAGCCTCATCGGCACCTAAACCCTAAACCAAACTATATGAACAATATTTGTTTCATTTGCCTCAAGTTTGCTCTAAGGTGTCTGCTTTGATTGTTATTATCACCAACTAAAGCGTTCTTTCTTCTGTTGCACAGATTGATAAAACAGTTTTCTCCACAGCATTAGATGCTGGATGATCCTCTGCAGCAAAATAATGTGGACGCTATGTATTGTTAGGTAGGAATTTAATAGAAGCTGTTGGGTTGAACAATTAGAATAAAAGATGTTTTGGGACACTTCTAAATAATTGTCTTGTAGATATAATTTCAACTTGAATGGATTAACATCATTGGGCGCTTCCTTTGATCAACAAAAACAGGACGGACGACCTTGTTGGTGACAAGGAGTCGTCTTTATGGAACGGTTATTGGCGTTGGGTAACATTTTGCGGTGAAAATTCAACATCAACAAATATAGCAGCAGACAAGGTCCGAGTCATGTTCATGTTGAGTCGAGCTGATGCCGAGAGACTAAAGCATTTGGTCACAGCAGCCGATGATAAACAACAATGTCACATCTCAACGTTTGTAGTCGGATGTGCCTTGATATGGGTTTGCTTGATTAAATCACGTCCATTAGACTGCCGGAATCGTTTCAGATTTTCGGTATCGATGACATACCTTTGGAATTGTTTGATAGCAGGCTGTGTTATTATACAGAAAAGCGAGGCAATAGGAGACAATGGGATCATTTTGGCTGCCAAGGCTTTGGGAAAAAGAATTAAAGCAATAGAAAAAGATTGGACAGACAATGGGGCATGGAGTATCGCAGAAGGGTCGAAAACGGGGTGTCCGTGTCTTACCGGTGTCGCCGAATCACCTAACCTCCGAGTGTATGAAACGGATTCCGGTGGGGAAGGGCTTGCAAGGTTGAGCTGACACACATTGATTACGTCAGAGTGATATCTTTAACGGAGTACAGAGATGGGCAGGGCGGAATAGAGGCGGATCTAGCTTTGAACAGTAATCAAATGGATGAGTTGGTTACTACTTTTTAGCAAAGTTTGAAGCTCTTTTCAGTTTAATATAATCGTTATTATATCAATATTTTCGCAGCAAGTAGTTAAATTGTAGGCTTAATAAAAAAATTAATGTATAAACTATACTTCAAATAGATTTTCAATATTTAAATATTTTTTTGTGAAGAATAGGTTTCTTAAATTTATTCTGTTATATTTTTAGGTGCATACAGTTATATTATTTAAATTTTTTAATGATACAAATATTATTTTTTAAAAGAAAAAGAAAAAAATTTAAAAAATCAAACCACTGCGTCGTTCTTCTCCCTCTCATCCCCCATCTCCGACCACGACGAAGGGTCACCATCAGTTGAGTTTTACAATCAATTGAGTTTTGTTCGAAGCAGACTGAGGAACTCAATGTGGCGGCCACATAACGTATGACCAGCTGTAGTTGTCGAAATCTTTGAAAAATAGTGAAAGAATACTTAGAAAACCAGTGATCATTCGCTACGTTTTTCACGACGATCGGCGTAGCTACACGGTGGATGGGGATTGGGTTTTGGTCGCGACGGTGAGACGATTCTGATGGTGTCAACGGTGATGGCCACGGGCCGACGATTGTCGATCAACGATGGAATTTGGGGGGGGTTGGGTTTTAATTATAATACTAAATCATTTTTAAAATATTTTTTTAAAAATATTTTATGTGTGACACGTATCAGATAACGATCAAATTTAACGACCATTAAGGTTCATACACCTAAAAGTATAATGTTAAAAACATTAAACACCTATTTTTAAAAAATCTTTAGACACCAAAAATCAATATGAGGTATAGATTAAGCACCTAAAAGTGTATTAAGCCTAATTTTTTTTTTCATTGTTGTGTCTTAGACAACCACATATTTAAAAATATTTTTAGGATAAACACGTATATTAATAATAATAATAATAAAATTTAAATTGGATGGAAAAAAAATCTTATTCTAAGAAGTAATTTTCCATTTCTCTCATAATCATGCAGAAATTGAGATACAACCAGAATTGGTATGACGGTCAATATTTTCAGCTTCTATCACATTTTAAATGCAACCTTAATACACCCCTGCTCATTGAATGCAGGACCACCAGTATTACCTAGAATGTACCAAGCATAAGACAAGACAGGATTTATTGCTGCTCGTTGAATCGTGTGGCTTGTGTCGTGTTGCAGTGAGCGAAATTTGTGGATCTATCTTATCCTCTATGGCTCAAACCAGTTCAGTTAGGGTTCTTGATAGCTTCCATGTTTCGCCGCCTCCCGGCTCGGTTCCGACCACCTCCGTTCCTCTCAGTTCCTTCGACCTGCTATGGTTTCCCCTCCGTCATGTAGAACGCCTTTTCTTCTACAAATTCCCACACCCTACTTCGCATTTCATCGAAACCACTCTCCCGCTGCTTAAACAATCTCTCTCCCTGACCCTCCAACGTTTTTACCCTTACTCGGCTAACATCATGTGCCCTCAACCCCCCGGAAAGCCTTACATCCGTTACATCGACGGCCACGACTTCATAGATTTCGCGGTCGCCGAATCCGCCGCGGATTTCGACCATGTGGTAGCCGATTATCCGCGAGATGTTAAGTTGTTACACCCTTGCGTCCCTCGGCTACGTTCGGCACATGTAAACGAAGACGGCGTTCGCGTTCTCCCCGTCATAGCCTTTCAAGTCACCGTGTTCCCGAACACCGGCATCTGCATCGGATCGACTTATTGCCACGCAATTGGTGACGGCCAGTCATTCATGCAATTAATGAGGTCTTGGACGTCTGTTTATCGATCGGTCGGCGACTTGTCTTGTCTCGACGAAAATTCGCGTCCTTTATTCAACAGGGACGTGATGAAGGGCCCTGGTGGCGACATGGAGTCGGATTTATATAACATTTATCGGCAATGGTTATCATCTTGCGGTGAAAACTCAACATCAACACAAGATTTAGCAGCAGACAAGGTCCGAGCCACGTTCGTGTTGAGTCGAGCCGGTGCCGAGAGACTAAAGCATTTGGTCACGGCAGCCGATGATAAACACCAATGTCACATCTCAACGTTTGTAGTCACATGTGCCTTGATGTGGGTTTGCTTGATCAAATCAAAAGAGATTGTCACCAACAATTCATCACACGACGACAAAGATAAGTTTTATCACTTCATTTTCTCATTCGACTGCCGGAATCTCCTCGGATTCTCGATACCGACGACGTACTTTGGGAATTGTATAATACCAGGCTGTATTAGTATAAAGAAAAGCGAGGCAATAGGAGAAAATGGGATCATATTCGTTGCCAAGGCTTTGGGGCAAAGAATTAAAGCTATGGGAAGCGATTGGACAGACAATGGGGCAAAGAGTTTTGAGGAAATGACTAAAGGGCAGTTTATCGGTGTCGCCGGGTCGCCAAAACTCCGAGTGTACGATACCGATTTCGGGTGGGGAAGGGCTTGCAAGGTTGAGCTGACACACATTGATTACGACGGAGCGACATCTATGACGGAGGGCAGAGACGGGCAAGGCGGAATAGAGGCGGCTCTAGCTTTGAACAATCATCAAATGGATGAGTTCGTTACTATTTTCGAACAAAGTCTAAAGCTCCTTTCAGTATAACATTCAGCATTTGCGGTCGACAAATCTTATTTTATCATTTAAATTTTTCGTCGCGGTTATGTTACGATATTCTTCATTATGTTCCCATTTTAACCAAATAATATGTACTCTTATCAAGGAAATAGCAAAAATAATGTGTACTTTTTTCATGTACTTATATAAGTACTTAATGAAGTTCACTAAAACTTTAATTAAAATAAGTTCATTATTGTACTTATAAGTACTCTCTTAAAGGTTCAGTTTATGATGGACATAGGTACAATTAGATCATGTTTTCGATCAATTCGATCAAATAAAAATACATTTTTTATTTGAAATATGACTCAGTTTGAGTTTAAGGTACTTTCATCTAATCACTAATTCATCTTTTGAGATAAAATTTACACTTGATTCGGTCCAATCTGACACAAATATAAATTTAAAAAAATCTTAATTTTATTTAATAAAATAGGGATATAATTAGAAAACATTATACATACCTGAATTCAATCTTACTCGAATTTATATAATTATATTCTAAAAATATCGTTTATTTAATTCGGTTTATAGGGGTGTTACAATGACATTGTATAAAATTGTAACTTTTTAAATTAAAGGTTAAATTATTGAAATTGTCATTTTTTTATTATAGCTTACTTTTCATTAAATTTTAAAATAATACTTAGACTATTTATATTATTTATTTATAAATTTTTATCATTTATGCCATTAATTTATAATATTCTAATTATTAGGGTAAATTATACGGTTGATAACTGAATTTTACTCGAACTTGTTCCTTGCTTAATCCACCATAAATCAACCTGAAGCTCCAATGGTGAGGGTGGGTTTGTGTAATACCCAAAATTTAATGCAACAAACCCAGTTTAGATTGGCTTTGAGAGAGGAGGAGGAGGATAAAATGAGAGGAAAAGAAACAGTTTTATAAGGTATCAAAACGACATCGTTTTGAATTTAATTTAATTTTATGTATGAATCCAAAATTGCAGTGTTTTGGTACATGTTGTCATGTTAAGATGTTAAAAGTTAACGGCTGAGTGACAAAAAAAATTAATCTATAATTTCAGTGAGTAAATTGAAAAAAATTAAAAGTGCAGTGAATAAAATATGAGAGAAAATAAATTTAGTTGTCAAATGTGTAATTTTCCTAATTATTAATATGTCATTAATTTAATGATATCTATTTTCAATGACAGAATAAATCCTCCTATCAACTTAATTCCGGTGTGAATTAATTTACTTTTGAAGTGTTATCTAACTGTTAAATTCTCCACTCAAGTATATTCTGAAGTATCTGCAAGATTTAAAACTATCAGTGTCAGATTAAGAGATGTTGGATAATACAATGGCATGTTTTAAAAACTAAATTCTTATGTAATTTAAATATGGCTTAAATGTTTCATTGCCCCCTAAAGTATTTTATTTATACCGAGTTGTTCACTAAAGTACTTTTCGGAACGTTTTACTCCATGAAGTTTAGATCGTTACCTAGTTTGCTAGAGACCGTTAACTCCTTTAAAAATAATGACAAATTACATTGACTCACTCAATTATTCTTGTGGTTCCGTTCGATCACCTAACTATTTTTTTTCTTCTGAAAGTCATCACCAAACTTAAATTTTTGTTTCGTTTAAGTCACTAACTATTCACAAACATTAATTTCTTTCGCTTTGACAGATAATTTCATTTTCCCATCTTCATTACCATCGTTCCTGGGTTATCAGACAATAATGACATGCAACCTTGCTTCACTCTATTACTGTTACACTTACAATATTTGTGAACCAAATACACCATATCCAGTGTTTTTCTTCTCTTATAATAGGCTGGGTGTTTGTGCTGTAGGGTTAAGATTAATGGTTGATGTTCTATGAACTCTTTTTTTTAATTATTGAATACATCATATAAGGTTGCTGTTGTTCATGCAACCTTTTAATCACTATTGCTGATTTGCTATGGATGATGAAAATATTCGATCAAGTGTACTGTTAATATAATGTAGAAGTTCAGCGTAAAACGAAAGAGTTGTTTTTGAATAATTGGGGATTAAAATAAAATAAAACAAAAACTTAAGTTTTATGATGATTTTGAGAAAAAAAATAGTTTGATGACAAAATGAAACTATGAAAATAGTTGACTGGCTAAATACATAATTTACCCTTGCTATTTTTAATGGAGTTAACTGAATGGGCAAACGATGTAACGATTTAAATTTCATAGAACAAAACGTTCGGAAAAACACCCCTAGACTTAGAAAACTCAAACACCGAGATTTAAAGCACAAAGCCTTGGATACCTTACACAATCCAACCACCAAAATCAACTTCAAAAGCAGACTGACCAGATTGTTTTTATGGAATAACAAAAGCCTTGGAGTGACCGTAACCACTAGCGGTTCAGCTTTAGGGAGAAGTCAATGCAGGTGCTTCGGTCATGTCGACCGGCTCATTCATTCGACTCCCGTCCCCAAGTCGAATCCATGAAGCAAACGAGCCATCGTCAAGTGAAATATCTGAATCGCGAATGTCACGCCGGACACATCCTTCTACCCGAACCGAACGGCAAGAACTCGAAATTTGACCCCTGATATCGAAATCGGCATGTTCGTTGAAGAACCGCTCCGGCCTGAATTCCGGTTTTCCCAGACGTTGGGGTCTCTGATCAACTTCCAAAGGTTAAAGAGAAGTCGAGTGCCTTTCGGGACATGGAAACCGGTCACCGTTCAATCTTCCATGGCCTCTCATGGCGCCGAGAGTGGGGCCACCAGGTATAGCCGCAATGCTTCCTTGACGATGGCATGCAAGTATGGGAGGTTCTTCCGTATGCAAGTGTTGGTAGCTTGATGTATGTAATGGTGTGTACGAGACCCGATATTTCACAGGCAATTGGGGTTGTGAGCAGGTATATGCATGATCCTGGAAATGAGCATTGGCAAGCTGTGAAATGGATTCTGCGGTATATTCTGAACACCGTAGATGTTGGTTTGGTCTTTCAGCAGGACAAACAAGATGGTCAGTGTGTATTTGGGTATTGTGATTCAGACTATGCAGGTGATTTGGACAAGCGTCGATCAACTACTGGTTATGTGTTTACATTTGCAAAGGCACCAGTCAGTTGGAAGTCCACCTTACAGTTAACAGTGGCTTTGTCTACTACAGAGGGAGTATATGGCAGTTACAGAGGCTGTGAAGGAGGCAATTTGGCTTCAAGGGTTGCTTGGTGAATTGGGAATGGAACAAAAGCACATCAAAGTGCACTGTGACAGTCAGAGTGCTATTCATTTAGCAAAGAACCAGGTTTACCATGCAAGGACGAAGCACATCGATGTTCGATATCACTTTGTACGAGAGATTCTAGAAGAAAGTGGAGTCATAATCCAGAAGATTTGGACCACTGAGAATCCTGTTGATATGTTGACAAAAGTGGTAACTGCGGTCAAGTTTAAACATTGTTTAGACTTGGTCATATTGTTACAAATTAAAAGATTGTTTTTTAGAGATGTGTGTGGAATTTGCCAAGGTGGAGATTTGTTGGTTTTTGGCAAAAGTCCCACATTGGTTGTGTATAAGGAGGAGGAGAAATTCTTTTGTTATAAATAAAGCCCTCCTTCTCCTTAGTTAATCATCCCACAAATATAAGCCTTCTTCTATTTTAAAGGCTATTTGTATTCTTTCTCTCTTTGTAATATTTCCTCTATTAGTGAAATATTTTGGTGTTCTCTTTATGTCTATTTAATAGCTATTGTCGGGTATAGTTGTTGTTAATTATTGTCCTATTAAAATTACTTGTCTTGGTAGTTCTGTCTAAGGAAAGTGGGTTTTAAGAGAGACCATTATGACCCCTCCTCTTTCCTGGGAATCTACCTTGGGGTGATTTTTAGTACAATCGTTTTCACACTAGTCACCTAGATAATAGTTTCAATGTGAATTGTTATTGCTGAAAATTAACCCAAATTACTATTAAAAGTTTCTTTAATAATCATATTGATGCTGAAGTTGTTGTTATGGGGTCTAATTTTTACTAGAGGTTCACTGGTTTTTATGGCAATCCAAATGAAAGTCAACGTGAAGCATCCTGGAACCCTCCTCCGATCATTTTTTTTTTCCTGAACCTGCTACTCCTTGGTTGGTAGCGGGTAATTTTAATGAAATTCTCCTCGCTGCTAAAAGAAGAAGTGGACGTCCGAAGTAAATTCGTAATATGGATGCTTTTCGTTCTTCTCTTGAAGGCTGTAATTTTTCAGATCTGGGATATTCGGGGAGATTGTACACTTGGGAAAGAGGCAAATTTCCCTCTAACAACATTCAACAAAGACTCGACAGGATTGTTGCTAATTCACACTGGATGGAGGCTTTCCCTGATTTTTCTGTTCGTCGTCTTACTCACACCATTTCGGACCATTGCCCTCTTCTTATTAATCTGGCTGCTGATTTCTCGGCTCCCAATCAGGCTCAGTGTTTTCGTTTTAATGCAGACCGGGTTCTCGAAGAAGAATGTGGAGAGATAATTTCCAGCTTTTGGGCTAATAATAATCATCATCTCCCTATTAAACTGAATCTGCTTGGTATTACTCTTCAGCAGTGGATCTCTTGAAACAACCAAACGTGTTAAAAGGAAAAGAAAGCTTCTGCATAAACTGGAGGAGTTGTCTATTCTCACTTCGGATGAAGATTCATTGGCCGAAATTGACAATATTAAGTTGACACTATATTTGGAGGCAGATAAGGATGAACTCTATTAGGAGCAACGTGCCCGATTCAATTAGCTTAAGCCTGGCTCGAATGGGCTTCTTATCGAAAGAGGAAAAATAAATCTCCCAGCTCCAAGATGATGAGGGAATGTGGAGTTTCGAGGTCTCAGCTATGGCTAATATTGTCTTTGATTTTTTTTGAAATCTTTTTACTAGAGCCATTTCCATCTCATCAGTTTGTGCAGCAAGCTTTATAAAATCATTGTTAAAGGTGTGGTGAATAGAATGTGCCGTTACATGATTAGTGCATTGATCACACCAAAGGGTGTTTATCCCTAGGAGACATAACGGAATATCCTCATTGCTTACAAAGTTCTCCATTCTCTCAAGTCTAGAAATATGGTCGTAAGGGTTCTTTCGCACTTAAGTTAGACATGAGTAAGGCTTACGACAGGGTGGAGTGGTCCTTCGTCTCTGCTGTGATGTTGAAAATGGGCTTCGTCTTGCATATCCGAGCACGATCTTCGCCTACCAGCTATCTCTACAGAACAATTATGGATTCATGGTTAGCTAACCTCTTCGAGGGTTCTCCAAATCTCAATGTTCCATGTATATCATAGCTATTTGGGTAATCTGGTCATGTAGCAACAAAAGAGTATAAGAAAATAAAGTCCAACACCCAAAGGAAGTTGCGAAATTTATTAGTGATTTTTTAATGAAACGGAAAGCGTCTTATTTTGATTCAGTATCCAGAAATTACCAGGCGGCTAGCTGGAGCCCTCCTCCTATGGATTTTGTCAAAACAAATTTTGATGTATGTTTCGACTATTCAACTTCAACCTCAGCTATGGGAGTCATACTAAGGAACTCAGAGGGTTGATTATGGCTTCAAGTACTTACCCGAGTCAACCATCTCTAAATCCAAAGTTAGTTGAAACTCAAGCTTGTGAATTTACCGTCCGTCTATCTTGTGACTTGGGGTTTTGCAACGTGATTGTGAAGACAACAGGACAACAGATAAGTTAGAATTAGGGGTGATAGTGGGTAATGTGCAAGAGATGGCTGCAAATTTTGACAACTAATCTTTCAGTCACTTCGGTCGATCTGCTAATTCTGTTGCTCACAAGCTAACCTCGGTGGGTCGTTCTCTCTCTCAAATGCGGGTCTGGATTGAAGAAGTCCCCCCGAAGTTGAAGATGTATGTATAAAGGATCGCTGGTGGGTCGATCCCCAGGATTGACGGCCTCCTTTCATCGTTTTGCATCGGAGATATACGTTCTTTCACTACATACTTTTGTAATCCATCTGCATGCAACCTTTTTTCACCGATCTTTGCTCTCCTATGTTGTAGAGCTCGTTCTCATATGGTTGTGCTGATCCTTTTTTTCCGTTCAGTTATGGTGTTGATGAACTTTACTCTTCTGTCTTCTCAGTTTTTTATCTTTAGATTTCTTGTAATCGGTTGGGCCTGTTTTCGGTCACTCTCTCTAATAATGGATCAGCAACTTTCCTTCAAAAAAAAAAATTTGAGTCAACGAATATGCATACGTACCTGACAAGTAGCCTTGATAGTGATATCTGCTTCTTCTTTCGACGTTTTTCCGTCATCCAACGCAGACAACATAACGTCGATGAAATCCTTTTCGCCTTTAATACCTGCAGCGGTTCTCTGTTGATGGTGTTCATTAACCCAGCTTCCCAGCACATAATCCAACTCCTTCGCCGTTTTTTGAATTTGCCTACGGTTTCGGTCAAAACATTGATCCACCCATGGAAAGGAACCGCTTCGGAAACCGTGAGCAGCCCGGCAAGGTAAAAGAAATCATTCAACGCCCTCTGGCATCACTTGGATTCCTCGTCTTTTCTTCCGTCAGGGCCGCCGTATCCTTTTCCGGTCAGTATTTTCACTATGACGTTCATCGCTAAATCCGAGAGCTTGTCCTTCATTTGAACGACGGCGACGCCTTAGTTTGCCGCGGATTCGTTGTACAACTGTTTGAGGAAAGCGTTGATTTCCGCCTTGCAAATATGTTTGAGCAACTCGAGTCGTCGGTTGGAGAGGAGCTCGACGATGGCGATTTCCCTCGTGTGGCTCCAGTAGGGGCTGTAAGGAGCCGAAGCCATCGAGGCGTGGTCGTAGCCCATGATTTTCGCCGTTAAAAACCTCGGCCCCGTCTGGAAGACCTTGTCATTGGTGGTGAAACACTCTTTTATAACGTCCCAGCTGCTCACCACCAGTGTTGGGTGGATCCCCATGCGGATCAAGAAGGCGAGTCCATACTCGTCGGCCAATGACCCAAGTTTTCTATGTATGAGCTGCCCTTTTCCGAATAGGTGAAGGTGACCGAGCAAAGGCCGACCTCCAGCCAGCTCCGGCGGCGGTTTTTTATTATCTTTCTGGTTGCTTTTGGCTCTGCTGATAGCCCCGAAGATGAGGCGAGGAACAAGAAGTGTAAAAACGATATTTGTTGAAAGAGAGTGGAGAAATCCATGGCCATTGATTGTGATGAACTCAGTTGCAAGATTCGTAGTGCTTTCCTCCTCAATTTATAGCAGAAATATGTTATTAATTGTAATTATTTCAAATTTTATTTATGTTCATCTTTTTATGTTATAATTATATATATATATATATATCCTTAAAAATATTTATAGACCTTTTAAAAAAATTAAATCATTATTTTAATAATAAAAATTAATAATATTGTTTTCAATATTTATTAATATTATTATAAGTTAAATAAAATTATTTTAATTAAAATAAAAAAATAAGTTTCGAAATAACATGAAAGTCAAATATGGAAAAAAATAGAATTAGTAAAAGTTGAACACATACATGGACTAATTTAAACAACCTCAACTACAATGCAAATGTCTTTTCTATGTATTAATTTCGGCCGCCTTCGACACCCGACATTACTTTGAAGAGTATTAGATTTAAAATTTAAAAAAAATTACAATATTTTATTGAAAAAATTCTACTTCTTATTAATAGTGTGCGTGATAATAATTTTAAAATAATTCTTTTCATATTTAATATTTAATTAAAATTAAAATATATCCCTCCGTCTCATTAAATGTGTATTTATTTTATTTTTTAAATTTTTTTATTCAAAATGTTCTATTAAAAAAATTAACAAATAACAACATTTATATTTTTTTACATTTATATGTTTCACTCTTTATACCTATCAAAATAAATCTGTCAAATATATTAATCACCTTTTAAGATAATTTTATTATTTTTTTACTCAAATATATTCTTAAATTATGTGCATATCAATATCACGTGTAAATTATAGGACAGCCGAAGTATTATTTTAATTTACATTTTAACTATGATGTCAAGTCTTTTATTGTTGTAAAATTTTAATTATCAAAATTATAGTATGAAGCTGACTCATGCGTATGTTTTGGCCTTTTGGGTAAGTAAAACTCAATTAAAATTCGATTCGAAAAATTTAACTGGAATTAATTTCAAGTTGTAATTTTATAATTTCAACTAGACTTTAAAAAAATTCAATTTCTTACAACTCAAATAACTCGAATAGTAACTCAAAAATTTTGATAATTAGTGTATTGATTTTCAAGTTTAAGTCGAGTCTCTCAATGATGTATAATATATTAAAAAATAAAAAATATATATGTATTGTGTATTAGTGTATAGTTATAAAAAATCATTTAAATTGAAATCAATAATATTATAATATTATAATTAAATTTAAACGAAAATTCGACTCGACTTCGAGTTATAAAATATGAATTGTTTTATCTTGACTAGTTCGAACTATCATCCTACATGTGCTCTAGCATTTAATTTCATTGCCTTCATCGAACGTAATGGAATCCCATATTTATTGACAATGGACTTAGATGGGATGAAAGGACTCGTTTACTGTAAGTTGCGGAGCTTTGGTGGGGGTGGGGGATTGATAGTGTCTACCAATGTTTTTAAAATTGAATTAGACATTAAATCGGTGAAGATATTGGTTTACTGGTTTAATCGGGTTTAACCGCGGTTGCATCGGATTTTATATAAATAATATTTTTTTAAATTTTACATAATATTCAAAGCAATATTAATATATGTAACAATTTTTTTAAGTTTACAATATTAAAAGGTATAAAAATATCACAAGTCATAATATATAAATTAAAATCATAAAATCAAGTGAAACAAAATGATTCAAATCAACTACAACATAATATTTAAGGTAAAACATATTTAAATAATAATATAATTATATAATTATAATCAAAAAATAAAATTGAAGCTTAAAAAAATTATAATAAATGATGTCATTTGGTTTAATTTTTTTTAAAAAAAATCATCTCACATGGCTAATAAGCATAAAAGAGCATCTCAAAAGTTTAAAGAGTAAAAATATGAGAACAAAACAATCCCACATGGCTAAGAAATATAGAAGAGCATCCAACTAACTTCTATAAATAATAGAGGTAATTTGACATTCAAAATCATGGAGACTTTTGGTGAGCACAGAGCGAATTATTCTTTCGCTTCAATTGAGCTCAAATTTTAGGCTTCAATCGAACTTTTAAATTTTTTTTGAGTTCGACCTTTTCGAGTTCAAGTTTTAATATTATATTTTGAGTTCGAGTTGAACTTGATAATTTTTAGCTCGTGAGTTTTGAGTCGAGTTGAGTTTACTTTTAAAGTTTTCGAGTTCGAGTCGAGCTCAGCAATACTTGAATTTGACTTGGCTCGTTGAACAAACGACGTCATTTGGTTTATTATTTTTTTAAAAAGAAAAAAAGTGAACCGGTGGTTCAAACCGGTTTTTCGGTTTTCATCCGGTTCACCCTGGTTTTATCGGTTTTCAGCTGGTTCATTGCCAGACCGGTTTTGTGAGGTAACCGGATCGGACAGGCCATCGGTTCACGGTTCAACCGGTTGAACTGGTCGGTCCGGTTTTGATAACCATGGTGTCTATTTTAAAATTTGAGTTTTTTTTATTAGTTGTTTATTTTACGGATAGTGTCTATGTCGAAATTTTATTTGTATCTATTCCATTTAAAAAATTCATATTGTTAACATATATATATATATATATATATATATATTAAAAAATATTTATAGATCCTTCAGTTGCTTAGTTTAATTTGCACATTTTTAACAGCTTGGTACCCATATAACACTTCATAGAGCAGTATAAGATTCCAAGTGCAATTTCTTTTTCGGTAAGAAAATATTAATATTTGTTTGGTTGAATAGAAAATCAGATTTTTATAAGGAGATGTATAAATTATTTGAATAAGACAGATCAAGTTTCACCACTCAGCATGGCCACAATGGCCTTTTTATTCATTTTTTATGCTCCAATTTTCAAATGATATCAAATGTTAATTCTACTAAAAAAAATATGTCAAGTGAACATGATTTATTGGTATCGAACAACTGCATCTGTAGAATGTGCGCGCTATTAATAATTAAGAAAGATTCTGAACAAATAATATCTTATATCACCGTGAAAGTTTAGTTAGTGAAATTATGTTGTTTTAAGTTTATATACTTTTTTTATCTCTAATAACTTTCTTCAAATTCTTACTCAATTGCTTGATTTTCTTCTTCAAAATACCAAAGGAAGAAAACCTATAATATATATGTTACATTAATTTGAAGCATGTTATAATTTAGGGGCTGTTTGTTTGTCTCTTAATCGAATCATTCAGCGCTGAATGTTGAACCGTTCAGCATTCAGTGTTTTTGTTTCGCACCTCAGCAAAACAGTGTTGAATGATTCAACACAGAAGTACATTCTGAATCATTCAGAGCCAGTTATCAAACAGCATGTCACATTCAGAGCCAAACCATTCAGAGCCTCTGAATCATTCAAATATCATTCATTATTTAAATCATTCAGCGTTTAATCATTCTGAAGTAAACAAACATCCCTTTTCTTTTTCCATATATTTTTAGAATAAAAGCTAATAAAAAAATAAATTTATGCTTCATCATCTAGTTTTATCTCCATTTAATATATAACTAGTATTTAGAAATGAACTAAATTCTTCAAATTCAATATTTTGAATTTTGCAAAATTTATAATGTAATCTCTAAACTTTTTTGTTCTCTTCAATTAAGGTTCCACATCCATGAAGATTGAAGAATGAAAGCAAATTACATATACATGATTACTGCAAATAAAAGTAGATATATATTCATGAAGCAATAAAAAAACAAAGTTGCTTAAATTCTCACTCAAGACTCTTCCAAATGCCTCAATTCGAAGAAGAACGAACCCCACAGCAACACCAACGAGAACAAGTCCATTCATGATTGCTGCAATCCTGAATATCTCACCCACCGCGTTGCATGTCGAAGACAAGGAGCCGCCGCCGCCGCGGCCTCTACCGTTCCCCCTTGACGGAGCTTTGAGCGAGCTCACGACGTTTGCAAACGATTGCTCGATGCACACTGGTTGGCCTAGTGAGACCACGCTGTTGTGAGCTTTTAGCCCACCGAAGGAATTCAACCCTGCGATGTAACTCACATTGACTGCAGTTCTTCTCCGGGGACTGCCGACGGTGGCGGCAGCCAAGGTGGGTGGGGACAGTGTGGCTGAGGCTGTTGTTGCCATAGCTGTATTTGGTATACAAGAAAGGTACGGTTTGAAATTAACCAAGTAAGATGAAAAGTAATAAAAGAAAGGGTTGGAAGAGAGAGTGGATAAGGTGAGGTCAAGATGGATGGTTGATAAGCCAATTAGATGAGTAAACGATTGTGTAGCATTAAATGGTGGCCATACGAAATTTGAGATGCTGGGGGTTACCAGTGAAGGATTTTATTTTAATATTTGTTCCCATTAATTAATCGATATTCGAACCGGGTCAACTCGGGTTCTAACAAGTTTGATTGATCATTTTTTTACACTTTAATTCTAATCCTAATCTTATCTAAAAAGCATAGGAACGAGATTCTAAAGAATAAAAAAGAGTTCCTAATAGGTCTAAAACTCGTGACCTAAAGAAATACAAGAGGACACACGGATGAACAAATCCATATGACTCAAATTCGAATTTATTCACTGGTATATTTGTCCGAGAGAAAGAGCAAGCCCATACGAGAAATTCGGTTGAAGGGTATCATTCGACTTTGGACCCAGAAATTGCCCCAACTCTCGAACCAAATTCAGAATCATGCCATCGACGAACTCTGCACAGATAACAAGTTTATGTAATGACTGTTTGTAGTTTCAGCATATTAAAGCACTTTTTCGATCGAACACAGGGATTCAAAACAAAAGAAACCTAGCTCATTGTTTGATATTTAAGCGAAGCTAGGAAGAAAATAGGAAGGTGCCAGAATAATTATCTTTTCCCAACATAACGCAGATAGATACATACAGCTTCCTGTGACAGAAAGGGCAAATGAGGGTAAGGGATGCTAAATACCCAGCACTACATTTATTCACTGGTATATTTGTCTGATCTAATCTTCATATTCCGTCTCTTCGTCGTCCTCTTCATGGTTTTCCGGATACCTCCATCCATCCTCTACATTTTCACGTCTTCTTCGGTTTCTTCACTATCTTCTTCCTCAAATACTTGTTCTTTAACCGGCCATTGTTTTTTGGGTATGGGCAAAGTGGCAGCGGAAGGATTCGTGCCTTTCTGCCTGGCAATCTTTGCAGGAGGCATCTTCAAGTTTGGCTTGGCCCTACTTTGTTTCTGACTTTTCCCATTCACTCTCTTTCTGGCATAAGCATCATGATCACTGCCTTCGTCCATCTCGTTGTCGGCATTAGGTGTGGCGTTCTCGGCATTCTCATCCGACATGTGACCCGGATGCTCTCTCCTTAAATGGAGTTTCAGTTTGTATTCATGTATGTAAGCTTTTTCACAACCTTCATAAGGGCAAGCATAAGGGCGGTCAGATGATGCAGAACCATAGGCACTGCCGGCAGACTTCGGTGTTTTAATTATCTTCTCTACAGGCGGGACGTATTTTGCCACTTCTGGTGTAGGGTTCTACCAAATGCAAGGGTGAATATCTCAAGGTTAACAAGATGCCATATATGTCATGTCATATAAAACAGGAACATGTTATGACATCAGCGTCGCAAACCTTTTCATGGTGTTGTGCAATGTGGTTCTTTAGCTTGTACTCATGAGCATATCTCTTTCCACAATCTGGGTATGGACAGATATGATAGTTTTCTTGTGAATGTGTTTTCATGTGACCTCAGATTGAAATCCAAAGAGAATGCCTGTCATTCTCACAATCAAATCCATTAGAACTCGGAACAAATATAAAGCACAAGTAGGTAAACTATATGTGTATGCATATATTATATAAATTAACAAGAAAAGGACTAACAGCATGGGATAGATTTACCACCTTACCACAACCTTCATGTGGGCATACAAAATCTCTCTCTCCAGTGTGAATGAGAAAGTGTCTTTTCAATTTTGAACTATCCAAAAATTTCTGCAGTATTAACAAACAGATACCATATTAACCACCACCAAAGAAAACTATATTTATCAGCCAAAACCACAGAGAGAGAGAAACAGACACCAATGAAACACTTCCAAGGTGAAATTAAGCATTTCCATAGTTCCCAGCTGCTTCATGATATCAGTGATTCTTAGAGGAACTTTCATAAAATAAATTTGAAAGTATCGTGCATCAGAAATAGAAATTTTAAGCAATATACCTTCCCACAACCCTCATAGTGACAAACATATTGTCTATCTCCATGAATGTGTGAATGCTTTCTCAAAGCACCAGCATCAATAAACGTCTTTCCACAGCCTTCATAGCTGCAAAGGAAAAGAACTTCAGTAGTAGGCTCTGGTTCTGGCTCTAGTGCATCCTGCTCTTTCTCCCTTTCATTCAATAACTCCAAGGTGTGCTCTAAACAAAACAAATTGGGCAAGAAAGGTTAGGTTGGACAAAACATGAAGAAGAAGATGACATCAAAAATCGATAATCACTTCACCCCTCCTCTCTAAGACCTTGAAATTTTCCACAGAATCTATTACTAAAAATAAAATTAAAAAACCAAACATACGAGATATGTTATTCTTCAAACCTATGATGTAATGAAAATAAAGTTAAGGGAACCTCGTAGACCAGAAATCAATTGTGAAAAAGGATAGACATATTCCTATGACCAAGCATAGACTGTCGAAGGATTAGGATTGAAGTCCTCACAAGCACACTTTTTTTTTATAGGAATATCAAGCCTCATTAAAAAACCCCTTCTTGATTAATGGAGCTTGAAAGTAAGCTCTTTAATCAGCGGATGGAGGAAAAGAGTGCCTTAAAAAAATTTATTACTCGTACGAAATTACATAAGATTTACAATAACTCCATACTGTTTTACAAAAAAACTTAACAACTCTACTAACAACCAAAACCCTAAAACTCAAACAAAAAAAACCATTGATATAGCCTAACAATCAACCAATCCCCAACTTTGCTAAACTATCTGCCTCCCCATTACACACCCTTGGAATCAACCTAACTGAGTGCACCCTTTCCGAGATGAGTGATGAAATCTCTTTAACTAATGGCAAGATAAAAACAGGAGCTAAAGCCGGGTATTGAATCCATTCCACAGTCGACTTACAGTCACTCTCCACAATCAACTTTCAAACAGGAACCCAACAAGAAGACAAATAGATTTCAATGCCTCTCTTTATAGCCTTTAACTCAGCAACCGGCGGGGGGACCTTGACCTACATTTTCTGAAAAAGTCAGAAGAGTGTTGCTATTCCAGTCTCTTAAAATACCTCCTATACCTCCATCCGTGCCATCAAGTCTAACAGCTCCATCAACATTCATATTCAAAAAATCAACAGGGGGAGGGAACTAGCAAATCACCTGAAAATTCTTAGGTTTAAGAACTTGAATACCAGCTGCAAGAGATGGATCACCAATCAGCACATCCTCCTGAATAGGAAACTTAGGGTACTTGGCTAGAAACCATTTAGATAACCTGAATCTAGTAATAAAAAACAGAGACATCCTGTCAAGGGGAGAACCTTCGAACACCATTGCATTCCTAGCTTTCCAAATCGACCAAAATACTTCTCTCGGAATAAATTTCCAAATCAACGAATTCCCCCTCAGCTCACCCCAGGAACTAAGCAAAGGTGGGTCCTTTGGAAGTACTAAGGCTAGATCCCAAAAGCTTGCTATTTTATTCCATAATTCCCAAACTACATAACACGAAATAAATAAATGTTGCACTGATTCCACGTGTTTCTTACAAAAAGGACAAAGAATATCATCCCCTAGCTGCATTCCTCTGTTCACCAACTCTTCTCTCACTGCCACTTTCTGATGATCACATTTAAACATGAAATAAAAAGCAAACCTCCAATTTTCTCTAAACAACCTCACAGATAAGAAATATCTGTTTCTATTCCAAATCTAAACAAGTCATAACGTTGTGTATAGGAATTGTATACTTTTCCGTTGCAAAAGAAAAGAAATCAGGTCACAATCACAAATAAGTAGCACATAAAAAGAAAAAACATATAGAAAAGAACATAGAACTCACCATTCACCCATTTCAAAATCATGCACTTTCCACCCGTTGCTACAACATCTTGAGGTACCCTAAACAAAATTTTGGGTCACATCATTGGAATTGTCCATAATACAAAGCAAGAATTTGATCACTAAATCATGCCCAAATCTTGGTTAAGATATCAAATTTGCATGCATGCTATAGATAAAAAGGAAAATTGAGCGTCCTTGAAATTCTCAAATCAAATAATAATAGCTCATTCAAATGAAAAATAATTCTGAAACAAAAGAGAGTTCAATTTGCAAAATAATAATAGCAGAAGGCACTGAAAAGTTTGATAACAAAAAGAGGTATAATTTACCATCTTTTGAACCATTTAACAGCGGGAGCCTTAGATTTGAGAAGAGGCCGTCTCTCGTATAGATTGTGAACGTACTGCATCACCATCCGTTATCTTTACAATTACTAGGGTTTCAAATAGCGGTGTCGCGGCCGCTATTTCACAGTAGAGGCGCCATCCGCCACCCTGAAGAACCTAAATAGCGGTGTGAATAAAATTTCACACAAACAGCGGCCGCAAATAGCAGAGAAACGGAAAATAGCGACGATATTTTTGCTAAGACTGCTATACCGAAAGCTTCAAGAAAAACTCCTTCAAAAGAGAGAGCATGGATGAGACAGAGTAACTGAGCAGTAGAATCGAAAACAGAAAATCAAATTAGCACAGTGATGCATATGCAAAGAACAGTTTATGCAAAAATCTCATGGCACAAGTAGAAATCAATCTTCGAGTTACTTTTAGGGTTTCATAAATTACCTTATTTAATTTCCCCGTGCGTCGGAAACTTGAACGTACCAGAAGATGGCCGGGGGGAGGAGGTTCATGGATTTTTTAAAATAAATTTCAGGAAACCATATGATATATATGATTTTTGCTAAGCTACATACATAGTCGTTGAAAATATAGATTAAATGCACAGAATAGGTTATCTGAGTGATTAAGGAACGATTATTATTTTTAAAGATTTCAGGTTCGATATTAGAGATCGTAGGATATTTGAGAATTCATTAGTAAATGATTCAGAATTTTTAAAACAGATACTATCATTTATGAACACTCTATATAATAAAAATATAAATTAAATTAATTAATAAAAATATGAAGTAATAAATTAATAAAAATCATAATATTTAAATATTTAAATTAATAAAAATTCATAAAGAATAATTTAATAGTCGCTCGTCCATATGAGTTTGATGTTATATTTTGAACCCATTTCACACAAAAAAAATTTGAGCAAGCACGTTTAGTTGGTTAATAGATATAGGCATAATTAAGATTACGACATTCAATGAAATTGTTTACGATATTCACATGTTCTAAAATTAAGAAGAAATTCGATTTAATTAAGTATTTTAACGAAGATGGAGTCATAAAAAAATTATAAAGAATTTTTTATTGTAATAAAAGAGCAGAGAAAATTAAACAAATTTTATATTATACATAGTTTAACAGTTTTAGATAATATAATTAATGTTTTTCTTTCGTATCAGATAATGATATTATTAATAAAATCATCTTTATATGTAAACTCAGTAAATAAGACGATAAATTACCCTAAGTAAAAGTAAATTATGAAAATAAAACTTACACTTATCTTGCATAAATTGAAAATCAAGTGTAAATGTGTAAGAAACCATTGCCTTATTAACATAATCCTCTATTATTTAGTACAAAAATATTATAAAATTTAAGTGGTATTATTGATGTTATGGGTTCGAATCGTTATACATGAAGAGGTGTGCGTTGTCAATAATTAAAAAATATTATAAATAAAGATTATATTATAATTATTTCAGACTATTTAAAAAATAAAAAATATTTTTTTATTGAACCATGTCTTTATGTTGTCTGGACTGGCCGGAGTTGATTTTTAATTTAAATGTCATAATTTATAATTAAAATCTTAACTCTCAATCATAGTTCTATTTTAATTTTTTTTCTTAATACAATGTTTAAATTAAGTCACGTTAAATTGTATTTTAAGAGTTTTTCAAAGTTTATGAAATTTTATATCTTTCGATCAATTATAAGAGACCATCGTGACTCTACATCTGATACTCACACTAAATATCAGTATATAAACCTTATGAGTTATGACAAGTAAGAAAAACGACTTATTATCTCATGATCTTCATACTTTGCACATTCTTCATATTATCGTTTAAATATTTATCGTCGATAGTATTGATCAACGATTATTTTTTAATCGAGTACGACTATCATTTAAATTAGAAAAGATAAACCATTAATAACACAATTAATTAATTTGTTTCATTAACGAAACTCAACTTCTTTTCGTAGGTCGTAATAATAATTACGTAGAAATATAGAAAAAAGTGATGAATCCAATAATTTAACCTATTTGAAATTAGGGGCACCTCTTCAAGCTGTTAACATCGTGTGGAAGAAATAAAACGTTTTAATTAGGTTATAAAAAAAAAAATTAAAAAGTGGAATACCCTTGAAACTGGAGGTGGAAAACGTGGACTTTTGCCGGATAAGGGAATTTTATGTGGTGGTAGCCCGACCAACGTAGACCGTCGGCATTGGCCTTTGCTCCACTCATAATTGGTTCGTGTATCTCACGCGCCTCTTAAATTCGTCATCCCCATCCACCCACACAGTGATAGATTCATAAATATTTAAATGCGACGAGTACAAATAACATTCACACCTCTCGAATCCTTCATGTTTAAACTCATAACTTCAATAAATAATAATTGTTTTTACCATTGAATTCGTTTGATTTGTATTATGCTATCATTTCAATTGTGTTTAACTATCCTACTTTAATATACATTTTGGCCCTGGCCTTCTTGGTACAATTTGGCCCTTAGAATTTTTGTCGGATACAATTTGAACTTTAACTTTGATTTTAATACTATACAATTTGGCCCTAACTTTTTTTTTACAATTTTAAGATAATGGTTAAATTGGTCCTTTGCATGGTCTGCATCATCTTAAATGCATCCGCAAGTGTAGCTCAAAGTACACCAACAGCTCTATCAACGGTGAGGATGATAGATGTAAATTCCCCATCTTATACTGCTTACGGGGTGAAATACTAATCATCCACCATTCCCTCAAGCTTATTCTTCTTCTTTGTTTACAATCTAATAATTAATGGTTTGGATGACAGGTAAATTAGGTTTTTTATTTTAAAAAAATAATTATTTAATATTATTTTTGGATATTATTTAATATTATGAATTAGCTTAGATGATTATCTGTTCCAATTTGGAGCGGTTCTTTATTTATTTTTTGTTCCAGTGTAGAAATGTGAGTCCATGTGGGGGTACCAGCTGGCTTGTTAATGGTGGGGGATTAAAATTTATAATAAAGTTTTATATGTAATACATTAACTGTTTTAAACAACTTAATGTACTATAAAGTTAATTGTTTAGGTTTGATTTTTCTATCGTCAATTCTTCAATATAAAAACTGGATATATTACCCTAATATCACTAAACTAATGGTTTGTTTCTATTTTGATCATTGAATTAAAAAATTATTAATAAAGTCAGTAAAACTACTCTAGATGTGTACTTGCGAAGTATAAAATTAGTCGTTCCTATATCTCATTAGGTTGAAATATAGTTGTTCATTTCCCAGTTTTTGGCTGGGATTTAATAATCTAACCTGTATTCTTTCACGTGTGTACAATTGGCATATTTTCTAGAATGTAAAGGGGTGTCAACTTGGTCATTTCAACAAAAATAAGTGGGCAGCTTATTAAAGAGGGGGTGAGCTTTTCTACCTAAACATCACCATATTTTTCTAATATTCATGATATAACACACTTTCTTTCAATATTTCTAAAACTAACACTCATTCGGCTGATATAGAAGGAAGGTATGTTCCCGGGAGGACACTTTAACGGGATTTTTGCTGACAAGAAGGTAGGCACGTTTCAGGGGACGCGTCTTTCATGGGTTTCTGCTGACTGGGTTACCACGCGGGAGAAGGTGCTTTACGGACGCCTTCGCGAGATTCTGATGACACGTTGAAAGGCATGTTTCCGATGGTGCGTTCTATTAATAGGGCAATTAATTCTCACCCGTTTCCCACCTAAATCCACTCCTCCTCTCCCTATATAAACTATCTTAACCCATTTTACCTAATAAATTATCAAATTCTATTAACCTTAAACCACTATCACCTTTAACCCTAAATCTAAACCGAAACCTTAATTTAAAATCAAGTGAAAATGTGATCCCCAAAAGAGCTTTCAAAAGGCTTGCCCTCTGAAATGTGCTTTCTCTCCACATCAACAAATCTCACGAAGGCACTCTCTGGAAATGTATCTTCTCTCCACATCAGTCGAATGGGCGCTAATTTGGAAAATATTGAAAAAGAGTGTTAAAACGGGAATATTAGATATTTAGGGTGATATTTAGGTAGAAAAGCCGAGGGGGTGGGGGTACCCATATGGACAGCAATTCATTATACTATTATTTTATATAAAGAATGTGTGATGAGCTGTCCTACTGCATTAGATGCTTCATTATCTGATGTTTACCTACGCCATGCTTTTATTACCCTTTTCGTTTTTGTCCTTCCCGTAACAGCTGCTGTAATTCGGAAACCAAGTCAAGAAAATACCCCCCCCCCCCAAACTGCAGGTTTTTTCCCCTGCACTTTTACTGCAAAAATGTCCGTAACTCGGTGAAAATGATGTTTTTGTTTGTTTATGCTTATAAAATGGAGGATTTGGGTTGAAAAGTCTTGGAGGTATATTCAGACAATGATCTGGGCAGGACACATCAGTTTCTGTCGGGAAGAAAGAACGACTGAAAAGACACTGTTGTCCACGATGCCGATGGTCTTCGCTACAAAGAACCCAAGGTTAGATAGGGAGTTTCACATTTATTTTGTAAATAAACCTTTTAGAAGAAAAGTGAAATTTTCTCAATAAGAATAAATAAAATTCGATTTATTTAAAAAATATTTTTTTATCTGACCAGAATTTCATAATTCAACCCTTTCGAAAAAAACTTCAAACAAAATTTAAGTCTTAAAATAACATTCATCAATTTGATTAATTCAAATTTTTATTATTGGATTCTACTCTATGGAATGTTTCTCTATTTTCATGTCTACGAGACCCCACGAGTGGGCTAGTGGCATATGGATAGCCCATGTTCCCACTTAGAAGTTAGAAATGAAGGTCCCCCACCTGGTTTGGTTAGCCAGGCTTAGCCCCTGCCTGTGAACCGACCGTACATCTTTAGTTCTCAACACAGTCAATCAAAAAGCAAAACAAACCCCACAAACTCTCAGTCCAGACTCCGCAAGGATAAAATGATAGAGAACAAAGAAACAAAAGAAGAAGATGGATTGATGATGGAAAAACACATTTTACTACAAAAAATAAAAAAAAGATAAAAAAAATTTAAACAATCTCTTCGGAAACCCCACCAAATGGATTTGCAAATCAATAAGCAAACCAACAAGAAGAAGAAGAAGAAGAAGAACAGTTCGGATGAATCCCAGCAGCAGCACCTGCAACATCAAAAACAGTCGGCAACTCCTCCCTTTGTGGTCCCTTTTGATGGCACCCGATCTTCAGCTCCTTCTTCCAGTAACCCTTTTAATATGAGCTCCGTTTCTCAACTCCATCATCATCTTCTTCGTTCCACCACCACCACCACAACTCCGCCTCTAGCGTCGTCTTATTCTTCTTCTTCCACCACTGCAACGAACCCACCATCTCATCTTGTTGACGCCTCTCTCGCTATTGCTACCAGATCTACTTCATGTACGACGGAAACCACGACGACTGCAGCTAACCCTCCGGCGAAACGCTCCATCAAGGACAGACACACCAAAGTCGATGGTCGAGGCCGCCGTATCAGAATGCCAGCTACTTGTGCGGCTAGGGTTTTCCAACTCACGAGGGAATTAGGTCATAAATCCGACGGGGAAACAATCGAGTGGCTTTTACAACAAGCTGAACCGGCGATAATAGCAGCCACCGGAACTGGTACCATACCAGCCAATTTTTCGACTCTTAATATTTCTTTAAGAAGCAGTGGTTCCACGCTTTCAGCTCCGCCTTCAAAATCTGCTCCTCACTCCTTCCATGGCGCTTTAGCTTTGGCTTCTCATCACCACCCTTATGAAGGAGGGTTCGCTCATAGCTCTTTGTTGGGTTTTCACCATCAGGAGCAGCAACAACAACAGCATCTTTTAACGGCAGATCAAATAGATGAAGCTTTACCTGGAGGCGGCGGTGGAGATGGTGGGAATTTAAGCGAGAATTATTTGAGAAAACGTTTCAGAGAGGATTTGTTCAAGGATGAAAATCAGCAGCAAGGCGAAACTGGCGGAGATGACAGCGGATGTGGTGGCAGCAGAGATGATTCTGCCATTAAGGCTTTTAATCCACCACCGCCGCCATTACAACAAGATGCTGAATCTTCAAGTCTACTTCGACCATCGAATATACTTCCTGCTACTGCCATGTGGGCAGTAGCACCAGCACCGAGCAGTGTTTCCGGAAGTACATTTTGGATGTTACCAATGACCACTGCTGGTGCCGTTGGTCCATCAATGGTTTCGGCTGCATCCGGGGCTGATCCATCCGATCAGCCCCATCAGCCCCAGATGTGGTCGTTTGGAACATCAAGTGGGACCACAATGCAAGCACCATTACATTTTCTCCCAAGACTTAATCTTCCAGGTAACATTGAATTCCAAGGTAGTAGAGGTAGTCCTTTACAATTGGGTTCAATGTTAATGCAGCAACAACAACCACCACCCCATTACCTCGGTTTAGGTATGTCCGACACTAATTTAGGCATGTTGGCCGCTCTTAATGCCTACTCTAGAGGTGGTCCGAACATTAACTCGGACCAAAATAATCCACTCGAACATCATCATCAACATCAACAACAACAGCACCGGCCTCAAGGTACAAATAGTGGAGATGAGCAAGACCCTAATAATTCTCAATGATTGAATGCCTTGGATTTATTTCTTTTCCCCTGGAGGAACTGAATAAGTGAAGTATGTGATGAACAGATTGCTCGGTTAGTATTGTTTGTTCTTTTTGATTTTGGTTTATGAGGTTCGAGTTTGTAATTTATGTTTGTGGTCCGAAGGGGGGCCCATAGGGAACAGTAACGAGAGAATAAGAGCTGTTTTTGTATAGGAGGATATTTGTTTTGTGTTTATTATTACAAGGGTTTTTACTATTTGATTTGCAGTGAGTTATTTTTGTTATAAATCCTCAATTGACATGACTAGTTTTGTTTCCATTCGATTCGTGTTAATCTATATATATATATATATATATATATATATATATATATATATATAAAGTGTGTTCTGTCAGAAGTGTGTGTTATGTTACCAAGTTCCAAGCCAATCTTTTTAATTAGGTTTCCACAACTTGTTTGTATGTAAACGAAAGTGGTGTTTATTTAATGTTAGGGTAAATTGTGCGTTTAGTATCTAAACTATCAATTGGTCTATTTTAGTACTTAAATTTTTAATTTTTTTAAATCATACTTAAAGTTTAATTTTGTTTCATTTTAATATCCTTGTTCAAAATTTAATGTTAAGTTTTGAAAATTTTATGAAAGTTTAGGTACTAAAACAGACTAAAAATGATAGTTTAGGTATTAAACGCGATAAGTTTTTAACCGTGGGATCCTCAAATGAAACAAAAATAAAACGTTAGGTGTGATTTAAAAAAAATTAAAAGTTTAAGAATTAAAACAGATTAAAATTGATAATTTAAATACTAAATGTATAATTTACCCTTAATGTTATCATTACACTACTCTAAGCATATGTTTGTTCATGGGCGGTAGGCGTGTATTTTGAAATAACTAATAAAATGGTATGCCTGATTTCCGGGGGGGGGGGGGGAAGAAAAAATTATTTTACTTGGGATGTTGCTTGCCAATGATCCAAAGTGCTTAAAAACATCAATAAAAAAGGGTTAAATGCATATTTCTCCCTAAACTATACCCTTTTACCAAGTTTCCTCTTAAAGTATTTTTCGTACCCTTTTTTCTCTCAACAAAAAATCGTTACTATGTTTCCCCCAAATCGTTAACATTATTTAAAAAATCTCAGACTAATCAGAACACGCTATGTGACATGTTATTTTTATAATTTGTTTTTTAGAAAACATAAAAAAGAAAATAAAATATTTTTTAAATAATAAAATAATTGATGAAATAAAGCAAATGAACCGGTTCAGTTCAATTCTTCCCCCTTATTAGCCTTCCAACCCAAACCCTAGATTATCTCATTATTCACGATAGTTTTTCTCCAAAACACTATGTTTCTTCTACACGAGAATTTCTTCTCTTAAATTCTTGTTGTTATCATCCAATAGTCGTTACTCGTTTTCTTTGATTTTGCATTGAAGCATGTCTACTGGAAGTTCGAAATCAGTATCGAGGGGAAATGTTGTTCAATGTTACTGTGGATTGAAAGCGTCGATTTGCACTTAAAATATCCCTTGGAGCAAAGGGAAGATATTTTATGGTCGTGCCAGATGGAATGAGGTATTCTTTTAACTATCCTTTATTTTTTTTCCTTAATACATTCTTAAATATGTTACAGATATATTTTTTGAATTTTGTCGTGGCAGTAATGTTGTGATTTCTTCCAATGGATTGAAAAGGATTATGGATAATCATTCAATGTTGATGAATTAAGGAGTGAAGTACAGATGTTATTATCTGAAAATAAAGACATCCGAATAGAAAATTATGAATTGAAGAAAATGATAAATGTTGGAGAAGAAGCTTATGAAGACCAAAGATCAGTTAACAACAACAACAACAAAACCCTATTCCCATATACAATGGGGTAAGGGGGAGGTAGGGTAGTAGGTTGCCCCCAACGCCAGGTTGAGAGCAGCTTCCGTGGAAGACCTCCGGCAGACAAAAAATTAAAAATGAAGATAAAATACAGTGCATGTATAAATAAATAAATACATAGTTGAACAGTTTTCATTTGCACATATGTAATGGGAAGTAATCTCTGCAAATAAATTCCTGCGTAAAAATCTCTACATATAGAAAGAAATGTAAGTCTCAGCTAAATTTAAAAAGAGGAAACATGAAAAGAATGATACACAGAAGTCAGCGATAGCAAGCTATAAGAAGGAATAAAGTCCAATGGGTTAAAACCTAAACTAAGGCAACACTACTCCGCTGCCCTAGTTCTAAGCCTTCATAAATTCCAATGACAGAAACGTATAAAAAGTAGAAGTCATGGAAATTACTACAAAGGCATTAAAAAGAAGACAGAGATGCTACACCCTATGGTTGTGACCCACACTACTCAACTACCATGGTCTTAAGTCTCCATACTTTCCTATCAGAGGTAATGTCCTCAGTAAGAGCTAAATCCTTCAAATCAGATCTCAAGCAGTCTACCCACTTCCTCCTTGGTCGTCCTCTCCTTCTTGCACCGTCGGCTGTAATCGACTCTACCAAAGATCAGTTAAGAACATGTCAAATTGAAATAAAAAAGTTTAAGAGTCAAACAATGTTGTACAAGGTTGGATTGATAATATGTTTGGTTTTTGTTGTAATTAAGTTATTCCTTTAATATAACTTTTATGAATTCCATTTATCTATGAATTAATGTTGTTTGATATGAATTTCATTTATGTGTTACTATTGTTAGGTTTACATGTAGATTGCAAGTGCAATGTTCCATTAATCTATGAATTAGTGTTGTTTGATATGAATTCCATTGAAGAAAAAAAATGTTAGGTTTATATATAGATTACAAGTGTAATGTTTCACACATGTAGTTCCACAAAATGCATCAAATTTCATACATAAACTTAACAATATATTTTACATACATAAAAACCACAAAATACCTTAGTTTAACCACACAAAAACATATTGTAATTCCATAAAATACCTTAGTTTCACCACATGAAATACATCAAAAAGTAACAACAAAACACAATGAATGTTTCACAATATTTGTTTTCAAATTATGTCATCTCTAGTTTTCATCCTGATAGGTAATATGGGTTATGTTCTTTCTCCATTTGATTTCTTGGAAGTTGGTTGAGTTTGAAAAAATCTTGGAAGTGGAAAGCCTGGTGGAAGTTGAGATGAAAATGAATGTTACATCATTATTCCAAGTTGAGATAAAACTGCTACAGACTATGATGAAGATGGAGGGTGCATCATTCTTAGAGGCTAAGAAATTGTTACTGGATGAGATGAAGTTACTGCAAACTGAGATGAAGCTGCTGCAAGTTGTTGTTGCATGATTGTTTTAGTATGAGATGAACACGTTGGAGCAGTCTGAGATGAACTATGAGGCAAAAAAATGAAACATAAATAACAATTTACCTCAAACTTGTGTAAACAGAATTGATGTCCTTAAATTAAATAATGCAACTTACATTCTTTTTTTTTTTTTTGAACATGTTCTAGTGTTGTGTCCAAGCTTGCCACAAAAGTACAACTCATCTTAGTTCCATGTTTAGAAAACTTGGCCCCTTTAGGTATTTCCCCTTACTCCATTCTTCTTTTATGTTTGGGTCTTCCAGGAAGTTTTCTTTTTAATGGAGGATCTATAAGGCCCATATTTGTTTCCCTCCAAAAATGTTCAGTAAAAAGTGTTGGTATAACATAATTGTACAAAAACTGGTATGTTTCTTTTTGTATGCATCAGCCACATATGATTCAATGGACTCAACCCTATATAAGATTACATATATTGCATGTGGACACAAAGTACCTGTCAAATCCCAATATCTATATGTGCAATTACAACCCTAACATCCATATCATATGTTTTCCCATTACTCATGACCTCATAACCATGTTACCCATTCCATATTACATGACAATGAGCCCTAATTATTTTGTGGTGTTCAATAATTTTACAAATTTTAGGACAAAGAAAAGACTCTCAGTGTTGACACCTAACTTTGTGTAAACGGTTTCTATTTATCACATAGCATTTGATGTCATCAAATAGAAAAATTGGAGCTTTATACCTTGCATGAAGTATTGTTGAGTTGAAGGCCTCACCAAAGTTGTTGTCAATAGAGTCACATTTAGAATGTGTTTCAAAAAAAAACCTTGGACCAATGTTTGGGATCACGTTGCATCAAACTTGTTAGTGCACTCTTCTTTAACTGACTTATCTTGTTGCTATGCCTTTGAAATACTGCCTCAGGTGTTGACTTACATTAGACTCTGAATAGTTGATGCAATTCCGTCCCTTTGTGTTCATTCCTTCAGTTAGCAAACATGTGTCTAGCACAAAATCTATGCTCAATATTGGGTAATATGAGTTGCATTTCTTCTAGAAGCCCCTGTAATATTGAGACACAATCAAACACATTTAAAAAATATATAATTTCAATTAAACAGTGAAATTAATACATGGTAAACACATACCTTTTGCATATCATTGATAACAGTGAAATTACGACCATCTGTATTGGTTTCCACCTCTACAACAATCTTATGCAATTGGAAAATTTTGGTTATTGTTATCTCTACCTACAACATCTAGTAATTCACCCTTAAACTATCCTTTTATAAAACAACCATCAAGGGATATTACAGGCCTACAATATCTAATAAACACTTATTTCATACCACTGAAATAAACATACAATATTCTGAAAATATGTTTATTAGATAGAGTGGGCCTCTCAAGTACATGATCAAATGTAACAGTGGGGTCTGCTTGTTTCAATGCAAATACACAATTGAATAATCTATTAAACTCATGCTCTACCTACCTCTTATATGTTCTATGGCCCACTTCCTAGCTCTATAATAAACATTCTTGATCAGATCTACTGTCATCTCTTCTTTAGCAAGTCTTTCAATGTCTCCCACTTTTAAGTTGGACATTATCTTCTGTTTACTAACAAAATGTTTCCCAACAAACTTATAATATGCCTTATATTCTTAAATGTAATACTGCAATAATGTTCACTCACTAGTTTTTTAACCTTATAAGCATCTTCATTTTCTCCTTACTGAGAAAAATCGTGAAAGGACACCCCACAACCTTACACCTTGCTCTAATCCTACCCTCTTTATTCCTAGTGTACTTATAATTAAATTTGTTAGCTACTGCAAAAGCCCCCCAATGCGTCCTTAAATTGCTTATGGCTTTCAAAAATCATACCCAATTCAAATATAGGTTCACTACTCTCATCAAAATATGTTTGCTTACATCTCTTACA